CATATGGTTCTCAACTTCTTCTGCCTGACTTATTTCCCTTAGCATGATAATCTCAAGATCCATCCCCATCAAAATCCCAAAAGCATTTTTTAAAGAAATTGAACCAAAAATTATCAGATTTGTCTGGAATCACAAAAGACCCCGAATAGCCAAAGCAACTCTGAGAAAAAAAGAACAAGGCCAGAAGTATCACACTCCTTGACTTCAAGTTATACTACACAGCAACAATAATCAAAACAGCATGGTATTGGTAGAAAAACTGACACACAGACCAATGGAACAGAATTGAGAACCCAGAAATAAATCCACATAAATCCATATATATATGGGCAGATAATTTTGACAGAGGATCCAAAAACATACAATGGAGAAAAAAAAATGGTTCTGGGAGAATTGGAAAGCCATGTGCAAAAGAAAGAAGCTAGACCGCTATCTGTCACCGTGTACCAAAAATAACTCAAAATGAATCCAAGGGCTAAACATAAGACCTGAAACAATAAATTGCATAGTAGAAAACATAGGTACTAAGCTTATGGACCTTGGGTTCAAAGAGAATTTTATGAATTGGACCTCAAAGGCAAGGGAAGTAAAAGTAAAAATAAATGAATGGGACGATAGCAAACAAAAAAGCTTCTGCACAGCAAAAGAAACCATCAACAAAATAAAGATGTAACCAACTGAATGGGAGAAGATATTTGCAAACACCCCCAATAAGGGGCTAATATCCAAAATATATAAAGAACTCATACAACTCAACAACAACAAAAACAATCCAATTAAAAAATAAGCAGAGGACCCGAACATACACTTCACCCAAGAAGATATACAGATGGCCAACAGATATATGAAGAGATAGTTAACTTCATACTAGCTATTGGGATAGTGCAAATCAAAACCACAATGAGATACCACTTCACACCAGTTAGAATGGCTGTTGTCAATAAGATAAGTAATAACAAGTATTGGAGAGGTTATGGAGAAAAAGACATCATCATACTCTGCTGGCAGGAATGTAAATTGGTACAGCCACTATGGAAAACAGTATTGCTGTTCCTCAAAAAATTAAGACTAGAATTACCATAAAAGCCAACAATCCCTCTTCTGGGTATCTACTGAAAAAATCTGAAAACATTTATCTGTAAAGACATATGTACTCTTATGTTCACTGGTGCATTATTTGTGGTGGCCAAGACATGGAAACAGCCAAAGTATCTTTGGATAGATGATTTAATAAAGAAAGAGTGGTACATATATACAATGGAATATTATTCAGCCATAGAAAAGATAAATTAATCTTTTTAAATATATTCTTACGGATGTGAAGTACTATCTCATTATGGTTTGGATTTGCATTTCTCTAATGGATAATGATGTCGAGCATCTTTTCATGTGCTTATTGACCATTTGAATACCTTCCTTGGAAAAATATTCAGATCATTTGCCGATTTTTAAACTGGGTTATTTTTAAATTATTGAGTTGTAAGAGTTTTTTCTATATTCTGGATGCAAATCTCTTTATCAGATATATGATTTGCAAATGTTTCCTCCCTTCTCTTTTTACAGTTTTGATATGTTTTGAAGCACAAAATTTTTAAATTTTGATGATGTTGATTTTTTTTCTGTTGGTGTCATATCTAAGAATCCAGTGTGTAACCCAATGTCACAAAGATTTACTCCTATGTTTTCTTCTAAGAGTTTTATAGTTTTAGATGTTACATTTAGAGGTATGATCAGCTTTGATTTTTGTGACTGATACAAGGTAGAGATCTAATTTTATTCTTTGTATATGCATATTTAGATATCCCAGTACCATTTGTTGAAAAATCCATTCAATTGAGTTGTCATCCTTAATGAAATCAATTGATCATAAATGTGAGGGTTTATTTCTGGACTTTCCTATTTCATTATCTATATGTTTATCCCTATGCCAATACCATACTGTTTTGGTTACTGTAGCTTGGTAGTAAGTTTTGAAATCAAGAAGTGCAAGCCCTCTAACTTTATTCTTCTTTTTGAAAAATCTTTTGACTATTCTGGGTCCCTTGTATTTTCTGATGAATTCTTAGGATCAGTTTGTCAATTTCTGCGAAGAATCCAGTTGGATTTTGATAGGGATTGTGTTGAATCTGTAAGTCAGTTAGGGGAATATTGTTATCTTAACAATATTAAGCCTTCCAGTTCATGTACATGGGCTGTCTTTCTATTTAATTATGCCTTCTTTAATTTCTTTCAACAATTTTTATAGTTTTCAGAGTACAAGTTTAATATTTATTTTTTAAAATTTTTTTTATTAAATTATTTTTTATTATGAAATACACATTTTTTAGAATTAGTTTCAGCTGTACAACACAGTGCAATAGTTATACTTTTTACCCCTCGAAGTGACAACCCCCCTCCCCCAATCTGCCGCCCCATTTCCCCCCAATATCATACATAATATTTCTTTTGTTAAACTTATTCCTAAATATTTTATTCTTTTTGATGCTACTGTAAATGGAATTGCTTTCTTAACTTCATTTTCAGATTGTTTTATTAAAGTATATAGAAACATTTTTTGTATATTTATCTTGTATCCTGCAACCTATTAAACCTGTTTATTAATTTTAATAGTATTTTGGTGGATTCCTTAGGATTTTCTATAGATAAGATCATGTTATCTGCAAACAGAGATAGTTTTGTTTCTTCCTTTCCAATCTGGATGTCTTTTACTTTTTTTTCTTGGCTAATTGACCTGACTAGAATCTGCAATAAAATGTGGACTAGAGGTAGTGAGAGCAGACATTTTTGTCTTGTTCCTGATCTTAGAGGAAAAGCATTCAGTGTTTCACCTTCAAGTTAGCTGTGTGTTTTGTTTTTTTTTTTTTTGCACATGGTCTTTATCAGGTTGAAGAAGTTACCTTCTATTCCTAGTTTGTTGAATGTTTTTATTATGAAAGAGTTAAGTTTTGTCAAGTACTTTTTCTGTTTCTATTAAGATCATCATGTGGTTTTTGTCCATTCTGTTGATATAGTGTATGTCATGAATTGATTTTCAGGTATTATATTAATCTTGAATTTCCCAGGTAAATACCACTTGGTCATGTATAATACTGTTTATACATTGCTAGATTTGGTTTACTAATATTTTGTTAAGGATTGAATCTATATACATAAGATATATTGGTCTATAGTTCTCTCTCCTCACTCTGTGGTTTTGAGATAATACTAGCTTCATTGAATTAGTTAAGAAGCATTCCCTCTTCTGGTTTTCTGGAAGAATTTGTGAAGGATTGCTGTTAATTCTTCTTATTTTATTTTATTTTTTTATTCTTTTTTTTTTTTTTAGCTGAGCCATCCTGCTACCAGTTGGCAGCTCAGCGGCAGCTCAGCTCAGGCCAGGAATCGAACCAGCAACCCTGTTGCTCAGAGCTCGCACTCTTGAGCGAGCTCTTAACCAACTGAGTCACCCGGCTGGCCATACTTCTTCATTTTTTAAATTAAAGTTTATTGGGGTGACAATGGTTAGTAAAGTTACATAGGTTTCAATTTATAATACATTATCTATATATTACATTTGAAAAATACAATTTCTTTTTAAATCAGTCAAGAGAAGGAATAAGGGGAACTATGCAATAATATTATCTTCATATGTACCCACATAATTACCTATATTGGTACTCTTTGTTTTTTGTGTGGAATTAAAATACTGTTTGGGTCACTTTCTTTCAACCTGAAGATCTTTCTTTAGTATTTCTTGTAAGGCAAATCTTCTAACAGATTTTCTCAGTTCTTTTTTTTTTTTTTTTAATCTGGGAATGTATTTTAGAAAGATAATTTTCCTTTTTATAAGATTCTTGTTTGACAGTGTTTTCTTTCTTTCTGGCCTTCATTGTTTTTGATAAGAAGTCAGCTCTTAATCTTATTGGGTTTCCCTTGTATATGATGAGTTGTTTTTCTTTTGCTGCTTTCAAGATTTTCTCTTTTTTTGGTTTTTTAACATTTTGACAATTATGCATCTGGGTGTGGATCTTTTTGCATTTACCCAACTTGGAGTTCACTTAGTCTCTTAGATATGTAGATTGTTTTTCATCAAATTTGGGAAGTTTTTAGCCATAATTTCTTCCATTTTTATTTCTTTTTTTAAAATTTTTCTATTTTCTTCTGGCACTCAGTTATGCATATGTTGATGCACTTAGTGCTTCCCACATTTCTCTGAGGCGCTGTTCATTTTTCATTCCTTTTTCTCCCCTCTTGGATTGCATAATCTCTATAGTTCTATCTTCGTGTTTGCCAACTTTTCTTCTGTCAACTTGCATCTACTGTTAAGCTCTGTAGTACACTGTTCATTTCAATTATTGTACTTTCCAACCCCAGAATTTCCACTTGCCCCCCGCTCTTTTATTTTTAATATCATTTCTTTCTCTTGTCTTATATTCTCTACTTGATGAGACATTGTCATTAGACCTTCCTTTACTGCATAAAGCATGGTTTTCTTTTGTACTTGGACCATATGAAGTCTTTGTCTGATATTGCCAACATCTAGAATCTCTCAACAGTGTTTCTTTTGTCTGCTTTTCTCCTGTGTTTGGGACGCACTTTTCCCTTTCTTTGGATGTCTTATAGTTTGTTTTGTTTTGTGATTGAATCTAGGACATTGTAGATAATATATTGTAGCAAATGTGGATTTTGATTCCTCCTTCCCTCACTCTTTTTATTTTCCTGATTCTTTCTTAGAAATTGTATAAAATACTTAAGATACTTAATGTCAGAATATAGAGATTTAAAATGTCTGTGATTAAAGTTCTTGGAATTAATGAAATCCAGTTTGTAAGTTAGTGGTCTCTTCTTTTTCTCTTGGCTGTGAGTTGTTTGTGAATACATAAAGAGTCCATATAAATGAGGTACTATCACATTTAGAAATTTTTCCAAATACTGAGCTTTGTTTTTACTATGACATTTACATTTACTTTTTCCTTTTGTAATCCAAGTTTTAGCTAATGAATGATGCTTATTCCCTTTAGGTTACACCTATGTTTGAGGACTGGACTGTAATAGATTGGTATCGATATTTCTGTTTGTGGGAGAAGTTGCCGACTTCCATGAAACGGGTGGCAGAGCTAGTGGGAGTTGAAGAAGGGTTCTTGGCTCGCTGTGTGAAAGGGAAAGTAGTAGCCAGAACTGAGAGACAGTACCGACAAATGGCCATCCATAAAAGGTAAATATCAAGGAGCCTGGACTACCCAGTATTTAGCACAGTATTGGATATACAGTAGATGTCCACTTTATCGAAGTCACTTTCATTGTCATTAAAATCAAAGTTTTGTCTGAATATAGTAAAAATTTTCAATTTACTGTATTTACTGAATTTATTGATGTATTAGTTTCATCCTTGCTACTTATGGTTTAGAAGCCATTATATATGAAGACCTTTTAAGATAGAACATTTTATTAGTTCCTTGAAGAAGATGTGAATCAGTATGCTTTAAGGAAAGGAAGGATGCGTCTATCATCCTTTCAAGTGATTCATTACCAGTAGGGAAGAGCCAATTAAAAGATTCTGATGGGGAAATTGCATAGGCTTTTAGGTTTATTGAAATATAATAAAATTATTTTTCTTAAAGCATTAATCTCTAGATATTATTTACAACATAGTCAAGTGTGAATTTTGTAAGGATTTATATACTTGGAGTATTTGTGCCACTATTGCCTTTCAAATTAAAACTGGTTTTTATAATTAAATCCTATCAATTTATTGAAATATGATTAGATTATCATATAATTGTATCAAATGTTCTTTTAATTTTTTTTTAAAGATTTTATTGGGAATTGGGGAAGGGGAACAGTGTTGGGGACTTGGGGAAGGGGAACAGCCAAGTTATTGTCCTTCAATCTTAGTTGTGGAGGGCGCAGCCAGCTCAGCTCCAAATCCAGTCGCCATCTGGCTGTCCATTGGCAGCTCAGAGCAGCTCAGCTCAAGGTGCCGTGTTCAATCTTAGTTGCAGGTGGGCATAGCCACCATCCCATGTGGGAGTCGAACAGGCAACCTTGTTGTTAGGAGCACGTGCTCTCACCAGCTGAGCCATCCTGCTACTTATTGGCAGCTCAGCGGCAGCTCAGCTCAGGCACAGCTCACTGGCCCATGTGGGAATCGAACCGGCGACGCTGTTGCTCACAGCTCGCGCGCTTAACCAACTGGGCCACTCGGCCGGCCCGTTCTTTTAAATTTGTGTGCCATCACATTTCTTGAACCAAGTCTTATTTCTTTAAATTAGTTATACAGATTTTTGTTATACAGATATTAGTTCTTTGCTATAGTAACTAATATATGTCAGAACTTACTTTATAAACATTGAGCTCAGTGGACAAACACTGAGTCTTTGTCCACTAATCCTATATCCTATTAGGAATCTTCTCAGAATGTGTAAACCTTCTCTTGCCTTTTTGGTTCTTATTTGTTTCACAACATACATTTTCATAGTAGACATAAGTGATCTCTTACCATACTTTTGGTGATTTACTTTTCAGGTTTTTTACCAGTCTTGTGTTGTTAGATTTAATCAGTGAAGTTCCCTTAAAGGAAATTAATAAGAAATTTGGATGCAGTCGTGGACAGATTCAGTCTTTACAACAGTCAGCTGCTGTTTATGCAGGTCAGTTAAACAAGAGTTTTCACATTTACTTAAGACTCTGTGGTTTGTGGTCAAGTTAAGATTATTATTTTTTTTTCCAAATTCCATTTTGTATGCTTCACTAAAAGTGGGAGGATCATGTCAAGCCATGATTTTGTGTAGTCCTTGTCATCAGAAAACTACGGCTCCTCTGGGCTCAGTTTCCCTGTCATGGAAGACCAGCAGTTAGCTGAGTGTCTGGACTTTAATGTCTGCTTACATTCCTTAGCAACCTGCTGACCATCTCTTTGCTTTCTGGGTTTTTTTTTTCTTCTTTTTTTTATTTTTCCTGTTGCCTGATGCAAGAAGAAACAGAAACAGAGTCCTCTCTTCTCTAATCTAGTTACCGATTAACACTTGCTGTTGAGGAGGAGGGTGGCAAGTGGAAAGGGATTTCTGGGTTTCCGTCTGTGTGTTCTAAATTATTATCTCTTCTCTAAGGAAACAGTGGCCTCCCTTAATAAAATTAAACCCATAGTCTCTAAGCTATGCAAACAAGAAAGCTAGGGTCCGATTTTGTCAAGGAATCCTTATAAGCCCTTTAGAAGGAAACCCTGGGCTGCAGGAGAGTGTATATTGTGAAGGTGTGTGCATATTTGGGAGAGTACCAAGGGAAAGATGGAGGGGCGCGGTAAGTAGGGAGAGACTCCCCCTTCGATTCACTGGCATCACAGATCTCAGATTGCCCCTAAGATTAATGTTTTCATAGGGAAGTGATTTTCTTAGTGACTTGGCACTTGGTTGCTCTGGCTTCTTCATTTCAAGAGTGTCTAGCTATTGAGCTGGGCAACCTATCTTTCAAGAAGGTGTCAGCGGGAGCTTTCTGTAGTCTTCTCAGCACTTGGATATTTGAATCAGTTCTTTTGCTTTCCTTTAGCTGGAAAAAGTCCCTTACCTGTTTTTAAGAGTTCTTTCTTCCTTAAAAAAGAAGAAGGAAGAGGGAGTGAGAGGAATGAACTAGGGTGAGGGCTTTGTGTTTTGTGTTTATGTGCTCTGCCTCAGTTTTTTAAAATATCAAGTGCATGGTTAAGAATGAAGGAGATGACATTTAATGTGTTTAAAACATTTGTTGGCCAATTAGGCCCTTACCATATGTCTACGCTCCTGTTAACTTACACCGTGGTCCTGTTAAATTCTGCAGTTCTCCAGGAAAAAAGAAACAATGAAATGAAAGTATATCTAAAGAAATAGAGAATTGATCTATAAAGGATTTTTAATTCAATAAATATGCTATAAACATTCCAGGGATGATTACAGTGTTTTCCAACCGCCTGGGCTGGCACAACATGGAGCTGCTACTTTCCCAGTTTCAGAAACGTCTTACATTTGGCATCCAGAGGGAGCTGTGTGACCTGGTCCGGGTGTCCTTACTTAATGCACAGAGAGCCAGGTTCCTCTATGCTTCCGGCTTTCTTACTGTGGCAGATCTTGCCAGAGCAAATATTGCTGAGGTGGAAACTGTTCTGAAAAATGCTGTGCCTTTTAAAAGGTAAGAGAATCCCCCTGTCTACATAGGGTTATTAAATGAAAAAGCATGTCAATTTGTAAATCATAGATACTGTATTAAAATATTTTTCTCTTCGATAATATCATGACATACTTGTAATTGGAAGAAAATGTGGCTGCTTTTTCCCCCTTAGGATTACTTTTTATTTTTTATACCTTTAAAATATTTCATGACTTAAAAGACATTTCTAAAAGTATCATAGTTCTTCCCTAGAAAGATTGAGTAAAGATAAGTTTCCAATGCTTTCTGCTTATACTGATTTTCAGTATATATCCAGGGCTCATCTTAGACTTTCTTTATACAAGAGCACTTTAAAATATACTCATCTTGATTGTTCTTAGAACACTAGCCTCTCAATTTGGGATTCTCCTTTCCTGGATCTCTCATTTCTGGACTTTCTCCCTTTATTTTGTATCTCCTGTGGTTACTCTGAGCTCTGTTTCAAATTCTGTCAATCAATAAACTTCAGGTTTTTATCCAAGTTTTTAGTTACCTTTTATGGCACTGATTGGGACCTTTTCACCTTCAGGTGAAAAGTGAAAATTCATCCACTGCCATTTTTTCTAGTTTCAACCCTCTTCCAGTTTCTGCTTTCTTTTGAAAACTCTCTGGTTCCTTCAAATATTTTGTCCATGGTTTATATTATTAGGAGGATTTGTTTTCAATGAAAGTTTTTGACACTCACTTATTTTAGCTTTCCATTTAAAGAGTGAGGCCTTAGTGAGACCTTCCCTTATTGTGGTATTTAAAAATTGCAGAACTACCTATCCCTTCTTGGTGCTACATTTGTTGTACACAACTGTTGTCATCAGTTGACATAGAAAGTATTTCAATATTTGTTTGTTTTCAGATTTCCCTAACTAGAATTTAAGCTCTATGACAGCAGATGTATTTGCCTCTTGTTCAGTGCTGTTTCTTCTGTTCTCAGAATGGCTCAGGTTGATGCTTAATTTATTTGTTGGATGATGAATGAATCAATGCATTAATTTATTTCCTTTTCTATCTCCATGTATAGTGCCCGAAAGGCAGTGGATGAGGAAGAGGAAGCAGTTGAAGAACGTCGGAATATGCACACTATTTGGGTGACTGGCAGAAAAGGTTTAACTGAAAGGGAAGCTGCGGCCCTAATAGTGGAAGAAGCCAAAATGATTCTTCAGCAGGACTTAGTTGAAATGGGAGTACAATGGAATCCACATTCCCATTTAAATTCTGATACACACTCATTGACCAGCAGTGGGTCAGAAGTAAATGAACACCAATTTATATCCCAAACTAAGAGTTCTCATAAAAGATTAAAATCAGAGAAAAAAAGTAACACAATATTTAGTGATTCTTCTGTTAAGCATTCACCAAATATAGTGCAAGATGTAGATAAATATAGAGAGCATACAAATTATCTGTTTCAGGATGGGCATCAAGAACGTCAGGTACGTTCGATTTCCAGAGCAAGAAAACTGACTTCTTTGAATATAAATAAAGAGAAGCTAGAAACCTCTCCGAATGAGGGAAAAACAAGCACTAAGAAAGTTGTTCAGACTTTCTCCCTTAAGAAAACAAAAAAGGAAACTTTGAATTGTAGTTCAGAAAAGATGAGTACCACCTTTCGATCTTGGAAACATAGCAAGCATCTAAAACAATCCAGATACAGTAGCTCTGTGAAAGACAGTGGGAAGTGTAGAACTGATTTACAAAAACAAACTGTATCTAATCCTGTTCACTGTGAAGACTCATTTACCTTAGATGAAAAGGATATGGAATTAGGAAGTCCTGGGCCATTTGCTAAAAATGCATCTTCCTGTGCTGAGGGAAAATATAATAAAACATCATTCCCATTACAAACAAAACAAAGTTGTTCAAGGAAAAAAACAATAAATAATGATATTCTTGGTGAACATTTTATCACAGGATCCAAGAGTGAAAAACGGACTTGTCAAGGCACTAGTGTAGTTAGTGAAAATGGAAGAGGATTAGCTGTTGTGGAGTCAGAAAAAATAGACAAAGTCCTGATACAAAATGATTCAAAAAAACATGTTTATGTGAGACACCATGATACACATCCAATTAACCAGTGCCCAGAGAAGCATTCTGATAAACAGACAGACACTTATACCAAACAGAAAAAAATAGTAGAGATGCAAATGCCTTGTGAGCTAGTCAGTAGTTATATGAATAGAGACTCAAATGCTATTATTATCAAATGTAAAAGTGTAAAGTTGAATGCTGAGGAAAATAAATTAAATAATCTTCAGGCATCTGGAGATAATATAAGCAGCATTGATACATCCAGTGGAGTACATCTATCAACTGGAGCATTTGGTAAATCTGGAGGCCATCATGAGAATTTTGTAAATACGTCTAGAATTCAAGAAAAAACAGATACTTATGCAGCAAACAAAAATAATGGTGTTTCTGACTTAGGGTTCATCCCTTGTGATTTTGAAGATAGTTTCTACCTGGATACTCAGTCAGAAAAAATAATACAACAGATGGTAACTGAAAATACCAAACAAGAAGCAGTGAAGGACACCAACCTGGCAGTGGAGATAATGCCGACAGGCCTAGACAAACAGGGCTCAGCGCGCTCTTCTCAGAGCGAGATTCGCGTTACCTTTCCTGGGGGTCAGAGTTCTCCAGGAGTGACAAATACAGACCATTTGGAACCTAAGACTGTAGATACAGTGAAACGAAGCACAGATTCACATGGAGTTGATATCCTGACTCCAGAAAACCCACTTTCTCATTCTCCAATACTATTGAGGGAAAATGGCCATTGTTTTAAAGGGAATGAACTTTCTGTTACCGACTCCCAATTAAATAGTTTTCTTGAAGGTTATCAAACACAGGAAGCTATGAAACCAGTTATAGCTCTAGTTCCTCAAAAGAGAACTCCCACTGGCTTAGAAGTAGAATGTCTGCCAGTTCCTGAAACAAGTTTAAATTTGAGTGATAGTTTATTGTTTGACAGTTTCAGTGAAGACTACTTAGTTAAAGAACAAGCACCTGATGTAGAAGCAAAAGAACTGCTTCCTTCTGAAATAATGTCAGACCATTTCAGTGATTCTTTCTGTTTGCAACCAGAGGGCCCAATTAAATCAAATATGGGTACAAATCAAGATAATCAACAGCAGTTGACTTGTTTCAGTGATGAGTCTATTATGTTTTCAGAAATAGATTCTGTTCAGATGGTTGAAGCTTTGGATAATGTAGATATATCTCCTGTCCAGGATAAATATAATACTGCAGTATCTTTTAGAACATTAGAACTACATGACCCAGTGGATAATGATTATCCCCAAAGAGAAGTAATTGAAGGAGATGAAGATGAAAAATCTCAAAACTCCAAATTAACTGGGACAAAACAAAATAATTCATTAACGTGGTCAGGAGAATCATTTGATATAAGTCCAGGACTGCAAAGGATTTTAGATAAAGTGTCCAGTCCTCTAGAAAATGAAAAGCTAAAATTAACCACTACAGACTTGTCTAATTTGAAAGAAAAAAATGGAGAGTTAAATGACAAACAAGAAGTGGTTTCAAATTTGGAGCTAAATCAAGTACAGGGAATTTCATGTTCCCCTCATATTGAAGTAAAAAGCAAGACTGAGGTATTCAAGAACAATGCTATTCGTGGTGAAACCCCACCCCTCTTGCCGTGTAAAGAAAGCTATGTAGTTGATGATAATGGACTCATTCCTCCTACACCCATTCCAGCATCTGCTTCTAAGCTGGTGTTTCCAGATATTCTTGGCACATCTGTAAAACTTTGGAAAACTAGTAGTGTTTTACAACCTGGTGTAAGTCATTCGTTTGGCTCACCTTCAGATATTAAAAGCCGTGACTTCAGTCCAGAGAATAGAAATAACGTAAAAGCTGACAGTCCTATTAGAGACACAAGTTTTTCACTGCAGTTATCACAGGATGGATCACAGTTAACTCCAGCCTCATGCACTTCAGAAAGCTTGGCCATAATTGATGTAGCAAGTGACCAAATTCTCTTTCAAACGTTTATAAAGGAGTGGCAGTGCAAAAAGCGATTTTCCATCTCACTGGCTTGTGAAAAGATCAGTAATGTGACATCTTGTAAAAGTGTTACTATTGGTGGTAGGTTCAAGCAAGGTAAGAATCTTTATTTTATTTTATTTTTTTACAATTAAATGTAAAATAGTGAACTGAGATAGGACAAACTTTTCAGTTTTGGATATTAAATGTAATGCATTTATTCAAAGCTTAATAAGTTTCTCTTATGTGGGTTTACATGTGGAACAGCCCTATTGTTCAGCACAATTCAATTAATAATAGTTGCCCTCTGGTATAAGAGATGGGCAATCCCAGGACACATGGGTGGGGGAGCTGGGCAGTGAGACCAAGAGCTCAAGCTGGGAGACTGAAAAAATGCAGACCACCAAGGTGCGACTCATTCCTCTGGCTCTGATAGACTGTTGTACCTGGGTAATCAGGCCTGTGTCTGTCTCCTTCCAAGTAGGCCAAGATCCCATCTAAATAGCCTTCCTACAGCAGCTCCCCAATCTAGGTGGCTTGTCAGGAGTTCCAGACCAATGTTGTCCCCTGGGACATTGACATAGCGGTCAAACTTACTGCTTCTGGGGCCACCACAAATGGTGTGGCTGGTTCAGGGGCATTTATTGGAACATGTCTGGAAACTTGATCATTGGGTATGCCCACCTCTAAAACAGCAGCTGTTTTTCTCCTATGCCATTCTGGTCTGTGCCCTTTCTGAGGCCATGGGATACTTCCGTTTGATGGTTGCCTTCCTCATCCTCTTCACTTTGTGAGGCTCTGTGGAGGTCACCTACCTGACTCTGCTACTTCAACTCCAGGCAATGCCCGGTGCTAGAGTGTGCTAAGCTTTACCATTAAATACAACATTTTTCTAAAAAGATCATATATATTTGTGTATATATATGTGTGTGTGTGTGTGTATATATATATATATATACATATACATATAATGTATATAAATATTAGAATATAAGCTTGTAAAAGTTAAGATGTATTTTGAATATGGATCACTTATTGTATCTTAATGATATAACAGTGGCTTTTGTTATCAGTACTCATGAATTATTTTTCTATTAAGTTGAAATATCCTTATTAATTTATATAATCACAAAAGTACATAGCAAATAGGCACTATATTTTTCACAATGTACATTAGCTACATTTTCCCATATTTATTTTATGTAGAACTTGTACCTCCACTGAAAGGCATGAATCCTATACTGAAATGTTGATCCCAAAGTGTCACTGACCTCTTGGTCAAATAATGCCATGTATATGTCTGTCTCACTTTATGAAAGTAAGAATTCTGTATCACGGGGAATAGCTGTATTCAGCTTGGCAACCTGTTGTGGAAATCAAACATTTGATCAGATTTCTTAAATCTCAATATTTATTAACGAATTTGTTCATAAAAGTTTGAGATTTGCCTGATCTTCAATTCGTGAAGTACATGTGTTAATGACAGGTCTTATGTACTTCCAGTGTTGACAAGTATGTTCCATTTTTCCTTCAACAGATGAAATTGAGCCTATTTTTTGTGCTAGAGGTTAGAAGGATATAAATGTTCACTTAAATTTAACAAATGTGTGCCAGTTATTTTCCAGGTATTGGGGATATAATTGTAAATAAAATAAATTGGTTCTTGACCTATGTCTTTATAAAATTGGAGATGCATTATTTTAGAAAAAAATATTAACTCCAATTATAAAATCAAATCATAAAATTCACTAAGAAGTAGGGCTCTTGATTTTTCTGGAGTTTCTTAGTGTTAAGAATTGCTGAGTTCACTACAGAATTTTTGTAGTGCACAAGTGGTTTTTATTTCTATTTGAGTTATAGTAAGCCTAGAAAAATTTTGCATACACCTAAAAATGACTATTTAAAGAATGCATATTTTAGGAATCTGGAAATTTGCTTGTCAAATAGTTCTTATCATTGTTTAGATGTTCAGTTTAATGGCTTTATTTTTAGATAGTTTTAACTATTTCACTTTTGACTTACTTAGTTAGCTCACCTCAGGAAACCCCTGATGGATTCCCTGTTAAGGACTGTGATGACATCTTGGTGGTTGGACTGGCAGTATGCTGGGGTGGAAGAGATGCCTATTATATTTCATTGCAGAAGGAACAAAAGCATTCTGGTAAGTAATGACTATTTGGCAACGTCACCATATAATTTTAAGGTAGCCTCTATTAGGATAATGCTTGTTGAGAATAGTTTCCTGATATTTGTCTAGAATATATATTTAGGATTAAAATTTTTGTTTTTAATGGGTAGCATGTACATTATTTCATATATTAAGTAGAATAAATGTTTCAAGAAACACTACTCTTACTCCCCTCACATGGGGCTATTAATACTGTTTTTTTCTTGGGGGTAGTGGAGCATCAGGGACTCCTTGGCCACCTTGAAGGTTTGCTTTTGAAGACTGGATCATAGCAGTTTCTCTTCAGACTTCTTTCCTCCTTATGACTGGGTCTTGAGCTCATCTAGAGGCAGTGATGCCCTAGACATCTATAGTAGTTGAATCACATAGCCTTGGAGAAGTCTTTGGAATTGAAAGGATATGATCTGGAAATACCTCGTGATTATAGGTAGTTGTTGGATACCTAGCTGACTGATTGGTTTTAGACAGGAGAAAAATTAATAAGGGAACATTTTTTCCAAAAAAAAAAAAATAAATAACAGGTTTATTTATAATTGTTATAAAGCTGAACTGCTGAAACTTGTTCACTGAAACAATTTGACTTGCATTAATGCTTTATATGTCCTCACATTTATATGAAAAATTCACACATAAATGAAAATGGAAAAACTGCCAATACCTGATTTCTGTCCCCTGTTTTAATAAGGGAACATTTTAAAGGATGCTATATAATGTCTTTTCCTGAGTAAGCATGAAATATTTTAAGTTGTATTGTAGGAAAATATGTTAGGGTGAATAGTTACTTGAATTGTTTTTTTTCAGATGAAACATTTTACATACCTATTAAATCTCTCTTCAAAAAGAGTTCCTTTAAAATCCATTTCAAAATATCTTTTCTGTCTTTAGCTCCTCATTCTGAGAAATGTAAATTTATTTTCAGAAATCTTGATATTTAGAGTTTTCTCCCACCTAATTAAATGGAGTATTATAAATCACCTAGTTCAAACTGCAGTTTTTAGATTACCAAGAGCTTCATCAACATAGCCGACATGACCTGGATAAGGTCATACTGAATTATTGGTTACATGGAACTAGTCTTTTTTAGTCTTATTGAGTCTTTTCAGTCTTTGCGTTATAGATTCTGCTTCATATGAATGCATGTGATTTTTGCCTTAAGACTGTGTGTTTTTCTGTTTGTTTTTTTAAAGAAATTAGTGCCAGTTTGGCCCCACCATCTCTGGATCCAAACCTGACTTTGAAAGACAGAATGTGGCACCTTCAATCTTGCTTTCCAAAGGAACCTGATAAAGAACGTTCTGTTATCATCTATGACTTCATCCAGAGCTATAAAATTCTTCTTCTGTCTTGTGGCATCTCCCTGGAACAAAGTTATGAAGATCCCAAGGTGCTATGAGTTATTTAATTTTTACATACTTAAATATTTTTTTAAATGTTTAGGGTTAATTCTTAAATGACTTGCTATTTATTTAGTTCCAACAGTATAGCTTCAGTTTTTTAGAATAGTTACTCCTTATGCAGTGATCTCATCCACCCAGAACAGAATATTATGCACCAAATGCCTCAGTGTCGATAAAAACAGAGATGTCACGAATTTCAAGCACTGAAGTTCGTATCTTTCCTCAGAGGTATTTATAATTTTTATTTTGGTAGTAAGTTCTAAGTTTTCTATCTTATAGTAGAAATGAAAGAACTGTCAGATTTAGATATATGATAGCAGGATGTTTTAAATATCCATGAGAATAGAGGTAGAAAATAGAAGTGTGTTGATATAACAAGTCAAAAAGAATAGTAGCTAGGAGCCATTTAGCCTAGGGACTAATCACCTTTCTAACACCTTGATAACTTTCCTGTATAGTAGCAAAGTATGATACACTCTTCATAATGAAAACTCTGTGTTTTTAAGGAAAGTTGTATGTTATGGTAATACACACTTAACAGTATAAAGCATTTTTGGAAGATATTTATTTACAATATCATAGTCCTTAAAAGGATATCTTTTCCCACTGTTGATAGTGAATGCATGAGGCCTGTGGAATATTAATTTTAAGTTGAGATATGTTACTACAGCATGTCTTCAAATGTCATCTCATTCAATGTTGTTTCGTTATAACACTGATGAGATGACAGAAGAACTTAACTCGTGTTTAGATCTATTAGCCTATGGTGAAATTGGTTTTGTTATGCATCATTTGCCTAAGTTGCAGAACTTACAGACGATGTTAAGTGAGGACTTACTATATACTCTGTTGTTATTATCATATAATCAATAATAATATGATACTTTTAGTTTCTTAGTTTCTTTAGCTTTTTTGGCAAAGATTTTCAAAGGCAGTATTAGATAAACTAAAGATACTATCCTTTTCTATACTTCAAGCCAGGCTTAGTTTATATGTGATAAATTCCATGTAGTTTCTAAACCAGCCGTTACTGGATATAAAAGGTTGTCACTTAATTTTGATGTTCCAGAATCTAAAATAAGAATATGGGTAATATGAGCTTCTCATTAAAACTACAGTAGCATCTCAGATTTATATAACACCTTTTACACAAACTATTTGAAATATTTCATAATTGGTTTTGTTAATCGAAATACTTTTGATGTAAGACGATAACTATTAATTTATAAAATGTCACTTTTATGAGTAACATTTGGCAGCTTTTACATTAGACTATTTTATTCAATACCCCAAAAAGGTTCTGATCACCAATTTCTAATCTGGTGGAGGGAGGTTTCCCCCCACCTCCAATAATTCTCCAGGTACCAGCTGGGTTGTGCAATTCAACTCAATTCTGACACTATCTACCTGGAGATAGTGCCAGATCCCACAGGTTAAGGGCTCCGTCCCACAGGATTCCCCATCCCCCACTTCAGACACCAGCCACAAGCCCAGCTTGTTATCTGTGTTCCTGGCCATCTATAAATGTGAGGTTCCCGTGACCCCCCCTTCCCCCACTTGGGTTTGATTAATTTGCTAGAGCAGCTCACAGAACTCAGGAAACCAGTTTACTCACTAGATTACCAGTTTATTGCAAGGGATATTATAGGCTACATACAAATCAATAGCTAGATGCAGAGATACAAGGGCTAGGTGTATGGGAAGGGGCCCGGAGCTGACGCAGTCTCCCAGAACCTCCATGTGTTCACCAACTCCCAAGCTCTCCAAACCCAGTCCTTTTGGTTTTTATGGAGGCCTCATTACATAGGCATGATTGATTAAGTCATTGGCCATTAGTGATCAATCTCTAGCCCCCATTCCCCTCCCAGGAGGTCAAGGGATGGGACTGAAAGTTCCAACCCTCCAATCATAGGGCTGGTTCCTTGACAGCCAGCCCCCACCCTTAGATGACTTAAGTGCATTACAAAAGTCATCTCATTAACATTAACAAAAGACACCTGTACATTCCTCACCACTTGGGAAATTCCAAGGGTATTTTAAGCTCTGTGCTAGAAATGAGATGGGGCTGGGGAATGAAGACCAAACGTATGTTTCTTATTATAACTCAGAATATTACACCCTCCTTTAAAACTACATTCTTAACCTACAAAAGAAGTAACTGAACCATTTAGTCATTGTCAGAATTATCGACAGGGCTTAGATTTCCTTATTCCAAATCTAGTTTTGATCTGCTAGAAACTACAGATCTTCTAGTTTCATTGGGAAGTTAATACTAATAGCAATCAAATCACCAGTTGGATGGTCATCGTAAGAGGCCCTCATTCCTGAGGGGAATGCCTACAGGCTTCCTAAACTCTGGATATGAACTTTTAATGATAAAGCATTTATGTTTCACTTTGTCCAATGCTGAAAGAATTACATAAACCTAAAACTACATAGGCCCATCTTTATTATGGTAGCTTAGCCAAAGTCAGCCTTAGTGGAGAAGAGTCCACCTGCATTTTCAGAAACACGGTTTCATTTAGCTGAGAGGCATTTGGTTTTAAGCCTATTTCAGAACTAGGTCAGCAGGAACATTGCGGTAATGGAAAAGTTTGAAGGCCATTGGTCTTATTGTAACCAAAAACGAGTCCCGGTAAAATTATCCTTTTCTTCTCTTCTCCTGGAAACACCACTGAATAAGCATTAAGTGAAAATTGGTGAGATTAGAAATGAGCTTTCATATTTTTCTCCTTTTAATTTAAGGGTGAAACTGGGGAGTAATTGAGTCTGGGGCTCATGCTGCCTGTGCTGCTCAGCCAATAGACCAACATAGGAGCTGGGGTATAGGATAAGAGTTTATTGTCAGAGCATCGGTGATCTGAGAAGGCAGCAGGTTAACACCTCCAAAAAGTGCCTTAACATTCTCAGACTGACTGGCTTAGGGTATTTAAGGGAAAATCTGGGTGTTCCTCTAAAGCAGAGGTTCTCAACCTTCCTAATGCTGCAACCCCTTAATACAGTTCCTCATGTTGTGGTGACCCCCAATCATAAAATTATTTTCGTTGCTACTCTATAACTGTAATTTCACTACTGTTATGAATCGTAATGTAAATATCTTTTTGTTTTCCGATGGTCTTAGGCAACCCCTGTGAAAGGGTCATTTGACCCCCAAAGGGGTTGCGACCCACAGGTTGAGAACCGCTGCTTTAAAGGCTACGTGACAACTTCCAGTGGTCTGCAGGGAGCCTTCCCTCTGGCAGTGTGGTCCTCCAGTGGTGTCAGCAACCCAGGAACAATCAATGATGGGAGTAGCCTGGAAAGAATGCTAGGCCATAGAAATTGTGATCAATAAGCATAAGGGTATTAATCATAAGTTTCAGGGTAATTTTCTAAAGCAGGGGACTGGGACAACGGACATTCCCAGCTTAAGCTGCAGGAGGACAATCTATTACAAAGCTATAGGTCAAAGAAAGGTGAGGCTGAGACATGGCAAGGCTTCTATGGGGGTCCCAACTGGGCCCTGCTTCTAGCATACAGAAATGTCTTTGAAAAATTAAGAAAATATTCTCATTGCTATCCCATTCAGGTGGCATGCTGGCTACTAGATCCAGATTCTAAGGAGCCGACTCTTCACAGCATAGTGACCAGTGTTCTTCCTCGCGAGCTTCCACTCCTAGAAGGGATAGAGTCTGGCCGAGGAATTCAAAGCCTGGGACTGAATGTCAGCACTGAGCATTCTGGGCGATACCGAGCCTCTGTAGAGTCCATTGTCATCTTCAACGCTATGAATCAACTCAATTCGTTGTTAAAGAAGGAAAACCTGCAAGGTAAAAACAAAGTTCCTGGCATTTTTACGCGGCTACAGACTGGTGACAATTATGTAGGTAGCCACTCTTGATCACAGGTGGATAATTTTTTTTACACTTTTTATGCAAACCCTAGCTTTGGATTGTCTAGTACAGGGGTCAACAAACTTTTCTGTAAAAGATATTTTTGGCTTTGCAGCCCAGATGGTCTTAATCACAAATATTTAACTCTGCTATCGTAGCACAAAAGCAGCCATAGACATTATGAAAATGAGTGTTCCAATAAAACTTTACGAAAACAGGTACCTGATCCTAGTTTGGCCATAGTTTGCTGACCTCAGGCTTTACTGTAATGAAGAGAATTAGTGATGTTTTATTCATTTATTGCTTATTTTATATTTGAACTTCGTCAAATGATTTTTATTCACACTTAGAACATCTTTCATGGATTTAAAATAGTGACTTATATTTTTAGAACTATTTACAGTTATTTTCTCGGCAAAGGATATTCATGTGACTCTTGTTTTCCCTCCTGACAAATAGCATGGATTTATTGTACAGTCTGCTGGCCTAGACTGAGTGACTTGACTTCACAGGGGATAACATATGCTTATGGTAGAAATGATAAAGTGGAACAAAGTTGGCTTCATTGTGAGAAGACATAAACCATGAATTTATTGCCTGATTAATAAATACTAGAAATAGCAGACTGATGAATTCACACACGGTTTGAACCTGGGCTGTATCGCTTTCTAGTGAGGGACTTTGGGCAAGCTGTTGAAACTCTCTAAGTACGGTTTTTATAGTGTTGTTATGTGTATTAAATGAGAGAGAACTTAGTACAGCATTTGCCACAGAGGAGACACTCATTATTGTGTTCTTTGATCATCATTATTATTTTTACTGATAACAAGCCCTCTGTGCTGATAGTAATGTTCTCCTCAGCATCACTGGGTAGAATTATACAAAGATCAGACGGACTTGTTTGTTCATAGGAGACTTGCTTAAGTGATGCTAATTAGCAGGTCTTGAACAGGCAGTGAAGGTTTCAGACGCTCCTTCTCTAAGCCTGTGCAGGCAGGCCAGGGCTTGGGAGTGTGTGGCACACACGCCACAGGACTGCTTCTCCGCTTATGGACAATAATGCTGAACGAGCACAGCTCTCTTTCCTTCTCAATCTGCCTCCACAGGTATCCTGTGTAGTTCCCAGACACCCTAGTCTGTGTAGTTCCCAGACACCAGCATTTGATGATAGTGATATGGATTAGTTGTAACTCTTTATAGATGTTTGTTGACCATTATCAGAATTAGAAGCTTTCAGTATCTTTGGGAAGGGACTGTGCCACTACTTAAAGCCAGTTTTTTACCTATTACAAAAAAAGAGACTATGGTTTTCCTTTCCAGAAAAGTACAAGAGACCCTTCAGATTTGTTACTTTTTAACTTTCACAATTTTAGTGTGCCTTAAAAGCTCTTTTTTTTTTTTTCTGTAAATTTTCCAAGGTGGGTGGCTAGGAGGTGTTAAATACATTTTTGTGCAGTGTTAAGGCTTTTTTATTCAAGGACTTCATACAATTGAAGCACGTCGAGATAAGGGAAGTTTGGGAGAGAATGTGGACAGTTGTCAAATTTTGTTTGGAAATAATTATTTCAGGATGTGCTTGTTTATTTTAATGGACCTTCGGAATCTTCATCTTTTCCTTTTCTCATCCTCTTGCCTTTTGGGTGGGTGTGTTCTGGCATCCGATTTTCTTCCAATAAAGAACTGATTTTTGTTAGGGTATGAATAAATGTGTCTGCTCAGTGTGACCCAGGACAGTGTATCCTGTTCTCTTTACATGGGTCAATTAGGTCTTATCCAGAGTGGTTTGAATATATGTGAGATGATTTTTTACATATGGAGTGAGTTGGTTCTCTCTGTTTTAAAAGACCACATCTGCACAGATTTGTATTAATCATAACCTTTCTTTCATGTATAATATCATCATTGGTCCATGTATAGTTTTATTATTTATTAATTATTCTTTTAATATATTTTAATATTTAATAACTGTTAACTCACATTATCAATAAGTTAAACATACTCGTATATGTTTACCTATGTGCTCCCCCTTTCTTGCATATCCCAAGCTTTATGTTTATCATTCCCTCATTTTTTACTTGTTTTATTTTTTAATTAAAAATATTGTAGCATATATATATCTAAGTCCAAACAATATGTTATTTAGATTTGCTTGTTCTTAAACTTCATAAAATATTCGTCACATTGGTATGTGCTTTTCTTGCTCAGCATCATGTTAATAAGATTCATGCATATTACCGCATGTATCTATGATTAATTCACTTTCACTGCTCTGTAATATATCACTGTGAGAGTGTGCCAAAATGTATTTTTCCATTTTTTTATTGATTTGGGTTGTTTCTAGTTTTGTATTGTTTTGCTATAGCAAGTAGTTCTGTATACATATTCTAACACATTCTAACTCCTGGTACATGTGGGCAAGAATTTCTTTTAGTTTAGAATTGCTCTTTCATAGGAATGGGAATATTTAACTTTGTAAAATTATGCTAAATTGTTTTCCAGACTGGTTGTAAAAGTTTACTTTCTAAACAGCAGTGTGAAAGAAATTGTGCTAATTCATACTGTCTCAATTTTGCCAATTCAATGGTTGTGAAATGATTATAATTTTCCTTTGTCATACTTTGATTTTGGTAAAAAAGTTATTCTAGTTTCATTGAATGAGTTCATGAATATAACCTCTTTTTATTTTAGAAGAGTTTATATATTATAGAAATAATGTGTTTCTCGAAATTTTGGTGGTATTTACCTATAAACTGGTCCTTTGTGGCAACATTTTTTACTACTTTGATTTATTTATAACTAAGATTATTCATATGTCTTTTTGATTATGTTATGATAAGCTATATTTTTTAAGAATTTATTTCTTTCATCTAAATTTTCAAATTTATTGTCATAAAGCTATTGCTTATGTTTTCTTTTTTTACATGTCTGGTTTATCTGTTATTTTCTTTTTCTTTCATAATATTTGTTTAATCTCACTGGAAGTTTATCCAATTTTTCTGTCTTTTCAAAGAACTAGCTTTTGCTTTTGATATTTTCTATTTTTGTTTTCTATTTCCTTGATTTCTGTCAACATTTGTAATATCTCTTTTCTTCTAGTTTCCCTGACTTTATTTTGCAGTCCTTTTTTTTTAAGATTTTTATTGGGGAATTGGGGGATGGGAACAGTGCTGGGGAATTGGGGGAAGGGGAACAGACAAGTTGCTGTCGTTTTGTTCTTCAGTCTAGTTGTGGAGGACGTTGCTTCACTGGCTCAAGTTGGTACCATCATTGCGCTCTTCCCGGGCGAGGTAGATCAGTCACTGGCTTCTGGACGGCCGCTCACGCTGGTTGCTGGCTACACACGGTAGCCCATTGCCATCCTTTTCTAAATTCATAAGTTTGACACTAAATTTATTGCTTTTCAAATCATTTTTACTTTTCTAATTTAAGTGCTGAAGGCTATACATTTCCTTTAAAGCTCTACTTTCATTTTATTTCACAAGTTTTGACATGTAATGTTTCATCATTTTATCCTAAATATTTAAGAATTTCTGTTATGCTACGTTTTGACTCATAAATTATTAAATTTATGATTGGTTTTTTAATTCCCAAATATTTGGAAACTTTTTATTTTGTATTTTTATTGTTACCATCAAATTTAATTGTATTGTGGTTAAAGAATATGGTTGTAAAATACCCATTCTTTAAATTTTTTTGAGTTGCTTTGTGACCTAAAACCTGAACTAGGGTGTAAATATTCTATGTGTGTATAAGAGAATGTATATTTTAATTCTGGATGCAGAATTTTATAAATGTCTGTTAAGTCAAGATTGTTGTTTAAATCTTCTGTATCTAATTTTCACTGTAGTTCAGTCAACTTTAACTATATATTTTGAGGCCATTTTATTAGATGCATACATGTTTAGAATTTATCTTTCTGGTGAATTAAACTTTCTATCATTATGGTGTAACCAGCTCTACCAGTAATATGAGTTTTATTCTTAGTCTATTTTCTGGAATGAATATGGTAGCATCAACTTTCTTTTGATTAATATTTGCCTCATGCATATATTAAGAGGCATCATGAATATCCAAGAGCAGTATATAAATGCTGGAACTCACAGGATATGGTATCTCTCAATTCTACTCTTTAGATGTAGTATCTTTGAGACTAAAATTCCAATGAGCATACTGGGAAAACTGATTTAGAATGACAACCCTGTTGATAAATGGAAGCAGACAGTAAAATACTCTAATTCTTATTTCTGGAATGTTCTTTACTCTTTGGTAAGAGCATTGGAAAATATAAAACCTCCATCTTTAGTTCTTTGTGCAAGCATGCATACCATGAGAACAGGAATATTGGAAATAATTTCAGGGAATTAATGCTTTGTAGCGGCTTAGCATATAAGATTGGCTATCTTGCTCTTGCTAGAAGTAGAAATATTATCTTGGGAGAAATATGCTCTGGTAATCCAGACTGTTCACAAGCTTGCCAGTTCTTCCACTCTGCATAGACAAGGTTAGTGGTCTAGTGCTTAAGTGGAAAGCCTTTCATTGTTGGTTTGAGAACACTGCTCAGGACACTGAATCTTGAAGCACAGTTTGGGTAGCATGTCTGGATTTTGCTAGAAAAATTCTATGTGTGTTTAGATGATGATACTCATCTAGCCACTTAACTGGTGAGTTAATGTTTTCGTTTTCTTTTTCTCTTCCAGATGTTTTCTGTAAAGTGGAAATGCCCTGTCAATACTGCTTGGCCTTGCTGGAGCTAAATGGAATCGGCTTCAGTACCGCAGAGTGTGAAAGTCAGAAACACATCATGCAAGCCAAGCTGGATGCGATTGAGACTCAGGCTTATCAGCTGGCTGGCCACAGTTTTTCCTTCACCAGTTCGGATGACATTGCTGAGGTTGTATCACGGGAAGAGGGAATTGAGAAAAGTAATTTTTAGAGTTACAAATGGTTTGTGTGTGTGTATTTCTTAAATGTGTTTACCTAAATATCAAAGAATAGTTAAAAATGCGATTCAGTTAACCAGAATACTTTGGAGGTAGAGTATTCTAACATCTAATTTATAAGTTATATCTTATATTTATGAAATAGGAATGTAATAAAGAAGGGTCCTAGAGTGTATGTACCAGGAGAAGGAGATTTGCCTGGAACAGAGGAGGCACTCAGTAAATATTTGTTTAATGAACGACAGTTGCATAATAGTTGCCTAACAGTGTAGCTGTTTCTCCATGAAATTAGCCATTTCATGGACGTTCACCCCTTCCTCACCCCCAAATCCTGTTTTGGATTACAAAATTAGATATTTTTCTCAGTTGTTAATGAAAAGGGGATTTTTGTGACTACTTGCTTTTTAAACCCAATTAAGATTTTTATCACCTTATATAAATTTTAACATAGTTTACTCTTATTTTTATTTTCAAAGGTTAGTGTTCTAGTCTCTCCTCTCTCCACACTCCACAAAGGGTGTCTGGGTTATTTTAGAGGGGTTAGAAATGTAAACTGGGTGCTTACTTTTGGCTTGGTGCCACTGAAGTTATAGTGTCCTCTAGATGTGACTCAATAATATAGCACATTGGTAAAGATCATAGGCTTTAGAGCCAGATTCGTGGGTTTGAAGCCCACCTCCTTCATTTATTTACATAACCTTGGGCCAATACACCATCTGTTTATATCTCAATTTCTTCACCAGTACAATGGGTTATGATAGAAATACCTCATAGATTTGTTGTGAAGAATAAATGATAAATGTAAAACACTTAGCACAGGGCCTATCTCATAGTAAGTGCTCAATAAATGTTATATATACTCATAAAAATGCCCTTTATTAAGCCTTAGAATTCTGTGTTTTAAAAAAATGAGGAACTTTGTTTCTCTTAATTACATGGTATATTTGTATTGAATTCAGTGGTGTCCTTTTGGGTATTTTTATATTTTCCTTTGAGTTCTTTAGCCCAGAACTCCCCAAGCCAGTACTAGCAGAAAGCATATAAAATTACATAGGGAGCTTATCAAAAATATAGACTCTCTGGATTTCAGCACAAGTAGGCTTGGAGCAAAGGTAGGAATCTGTGCCCTTTTGGTTCAGATTGGTACTAAGGTATGAGAGCCATAGGCCTAGACCAAACTCTGACCTAGAATAATAGGCCTTTGTTATTGGCTTGTTCCTAGGTCTTCATGTTAAAATGGAGGTCATATTTAAGGTAATCTAAGTTTTATACATCGACTATTTAATCCTTGGTGATTTTAAGTTGAATCTTTGGATTGGACAGGATATTATTGCTCAGCTAGAGCTGCACTATCTAATACAGGAGCCACTAGCCACTTGTGGCTATTTAAATTTAAGTTAATTAACATTAAATAAAATATTTCAATTTAGCTCCTTATTTGTGCTAGCCACATTTCAAATGTTCAGTAGCCATATTGTCACTAGCGGCTACCATATTGGACAGGGCAAATATAGATCATATCCGTTATTGCAAAAAAGTAGTTTGGGATGGCACTGGTCTAGAGCAGGGATCAGCAAACTACAGCCTGCGGGCCAGATTTGGCCTGCCTCCTGTTTTGGTAATTGACCCTCTGTGGGGCTTAAATAATTGAGCAGCCATGTTGGTTACCACAGCAAGTGGTATTTAGGAGCGCTCACAATCCTCAGAGCCAACTAAAGTCTCAGTATCAATAGCTTATTTGTCAGTTTTTCAGCACAAAGTATACATTCCTGCATTCTTGATTGTTTAAAAGCCTCGTGGTGTATTAATTTGGTAGTGCCTAAATTAGGGTATGGATAGCCTGCTTGATATATAAATTTTCATTGCCATTATTTATTAAATGCACGAATTCCAAATTGTCCCCCTTCCCCCCCCAAAAAAAATTCTTCCAACCCATATTAAACTATATAGGTTGTTTCCTCAAATAACTTTAAAAAATATTTTCTGAATGATAGTACTTGAGAATTGATTCTAGACTAAAGAAGCGTTAATTTCTTGCAGGTTTTATTTTTGGAATTGAAGTTGCCACCAAATGGAGAGATAAACCAAGGCAGCAAGAAAACTTTGGGTTCCACCAGAAGAGGGAATGACAATGGATGCAAGCTAAGACTGGGAAAACGATTCAGCACCAGTAAGGTGCTCTTTGGGGCAGTTACAGGGCAGAATCTGAACTACTTTTAGCTGATGAGGGCCAGCCGAGTGGCTCAGTTGGTTAAGAGCTTGCTCAAGAGTGCGAGCTCTGAGCAACAGCGGTTCGAGTCCAGCCCAAGCTGAGCAGCTGCTGAGCTGCCAACAGGTGGCAGGATGGCTCAGCTAAAAAAAAAAAAAAAAAAAAAAAAAGAATGCTGATGAAATCAAGATCCAATATAGATGACCATTTGAACTTATCTATAGAAAAACAAATTGGTTTGTGGTTTGGCTGCCCACAATAAATGTGGAGATATTCCAGCATAAAAAATCTGGACCATAATCTGAATTAGCAGTTGTGTCCTTTCTATCATTAAAATGGTGTAAAGGCTGCTTGTAAGCTCAGGCCTGTAGACATTATTTAATTATTGACATCCACTACCTTGGATTTCCAGTATAATATAATTTGTATAGTTATTTGAACATGAACAAAGGTGTGGAAGTGTTTTTTTGTAATATAAAAAGAAAAAAATAACAGCCAATATAAATAAAACACTTTTTTTTTTCAATTCCAGGGCATAATAGTAAGCTTTTCATGTGTTTGTTTTAAGACTTTAATCTGCTGATTTCCAAGTAAAGTGCTAATCACAGTCCATGGAAACTGTGTGCATAGGAGAGAAGGGAGAAAGGCCTTAATTTTACATTGTTACTGAATGAATTTTCAATGGAAAAATAAGGGTAGAAAGTACAGCCACAGCAGCAATGGAAAGAGTAGTCCAAGTTGCAGTCCATCCTGTAGAATTTTGACCCTAATATCATTAACTATGATTTGCCAGTCCTGGGGACGTTTCCATAGCTTCATTCTGTAGCAAAACTTTTTATTTGATCTCACTGTCCTTTTACCTCACAAGTTTCTATTCTCTAATGGTTCATCAAAAGTCTGTAGCATACAAAATGCAAAGTTTTAAAGATAAATGTCTTCTAATTTCCTTGATACAGAAACTATGAAAGTATTAGGGCAAAAAAGGAGAAAAAAAAAACCTGGGAAACTTTCAATCATGTGAGGAATGGAGGAGGGAAATACAGTGGAAAAAAAGAGAAGACACAAACTGTTGGATCGGGTGTGGGGAGGCAGTTATTTTGCAAAGTTGACATGTCATTGATTCTTTTTTTTAAAGGTAGATCTAAATTGATATTATTCAGCATTGACATGTTTGCTTTTAGAAATCTATAGTTATCATAGTTTTATCATGGTGATTAAAAAAAAACCCAAACAGTAATTTTGAGTTGTAGATACAGGAGTTAATACATTTATTTTGAGAGTATGTTGTTTACCTAAAAGAGATTCTGGTTTGCTATGGAATTTGGATAAGAATAGGATCTTACCTTATTGTGTTTCTTTGGCAGGATGTTTTAAATAAATTAAAGGCATTACATCCTTTACCAGGCTTGATATTAGAGTGGAGAAGAATCACTAATGCTATTACCAAGGTAATCTTTCCCCTGCAGCGGGAAAAGCGTCTGAATCCTTTTCTTGGAATGGAAAGAATCTATCCTGTATCACAGTCACACACTGCTACAGGTAATGAGAAATCTTAAATATGGATAATATCCAATTTTTAAAGAAAAAAAAATTTTCATATATATTTCTATGATCACCAAGGAATTCAAGTGTTGATCACTGGGTTCAATGAAATGGATAAACTTTTATGAAACGCATACTACATTGAAAGCATAGATGGATACTGCCTAGATGCAGAGATGAGATTTCGAAAGATACAGTTCCTGCTTTCAAGTACTGTATAGAGTAACTGAGATGTCTGAGACTGTGCTTTGGATGAGAGTATATCCAGGAATTAAATATCTGATTGAGTCAGTGATCTTATTTCAGTCCCAGCCCTCTTCTGAACATCTTAAGATTTTCTCTGAGTTGAATCTCAGTAGGTGTGCGGGTCATCTTTATAGTAAGTGAGAGTCTTATTTCATTCAATCAGAAAAGAAAGCTATAGAGTCCTCTGTGTTTGTCATGGCCTTCTTGCAATAGGTATGAGTATAACCTGGCGAGGAAAAAAGCATTCTTACTCTAGGTAGTGCAAAACTCTATTTACCAAATGCAGTGTGTAGTGGAAGAAAGGGTAGCTTCAACTGCTTCATAGAGGAGACAGTTTAGATAGTGTAGAATTGGGGCTTTGATATCATGATTTGAATCCTGGTGCTGTGAGTCTTTAGACAAAGTACTTATTAACCTCTCAGTGCCTAGTCCTACCTCCCTGGATCATTCTTACAATTACATAGGTTAATACATGGAAAGTGTGTAGAAGTGTGCATGCACTTAGTGTGTGTCTTATTATCAGTTGCTGCTGTTATTAAGGATGGAGTCACCATGAATGAGGAGCTGCTTTGCTCTTTGCTTGCTTATTCATTGTTTTAAACGACCTCCCTTCCTTCTTCTCTATTTAGCTAACCTCTTGTTCCTTCCTAGCCATTTCTTGCCCTGTTGGTTTTTCACTTTCATTTTGAAACGTATGCTAATACTGTATACTTAAGTAAAATAAATCCTTGTTGGTGAAAAAATAAAATCAACCTAGATTTTCAAAGGTGTTGCGCATTTATTTGTTGCTATTAAAGCAGAAAGTAATCATTTTCTTTCTTTTCCTGATTGGTTTTTATCATATTGTGCCTACATTTAAAGAAAGTATTAGAAATACGAGGTTTACTTAAGCATAACAAGGCTGTTTCATTATTAGAATTCATCTCTATGAAGCTACATTTGTGTTTTATAATTTATTTTTGTCATCTGTTTGTCTGCCAATGTTACCTCATTAATTCAAACAATAGACCTGACTATTAAGTGTTTTATAAAAGGAAAGAAACTTAGATTCCTTCCTCTGCTGTTTGTTAGCTTTACCACATTGAAAAGGCCATTTAATGGTAACAAGTATATTAATTTCTACTATTAATTGAGCACTAATTTTTGCTAAAAGCTAAATAACAAAGACATAATATCGGGTTATTTCAGAAAAGCAAAAGTCTAGGCTCTTAAAATGTCTGATTCATCAAAAGAAGATGAGATTACGTATATGTGGTAGCTAGTAGAAAGCCTGTTACAATGAAGGTTATATCATATAACACAGGATTTTGTGTCACTATATGTGTATTATAAAAACTGCAAAAAAACAAAATCCATTACCTAAACTTTTTTGGATAATATTTGTGTTCTAGAAAAATTCAACCAATAAATAAACACATAAAATGTAAAACATTTTGGGGGGAAATAAAACCTATAAGCATTTAAACAAATAATTTTGTTTCCTAGAAAATTCATTAACCACCTGATTCTATTCTCTAGCCAAGCCAGTGTTAGCGTTGATTCTCTTGATGAGTGGTGATGATGATGATGATGATGAAGAAAATTGGCCAGGTGATGTCTAGAAAGTGATGTTTCAGTCCCACCTCTCACTGCTGCTCCACCTCCTGCCTTAGCTAACTTCTCTGGCCCCGCGCCCCTGTTCAGCACTCAGCTGCTCTTTTCCAGATCCTCTTCTTTGTATCTTGTGCTTCGCTGGCTTTTTAAAGGCTTATCCGACAGTCATGCCTCCTAGGATCCATTTGATTAGTCTTTACTCATTAATGTGACTGCTAACATTTATAGTGCTGACATCTGGTACTAATTTTAGCACAGGAATAGTTCAATTTATTAAATTACTTCTTATTATGGGCTTGTTTTCTGGAGAGCTAGGTTAATATAAAACATTGTATTGTAGCTGATTCATTCATTCACTTACATTGGTATTGCTCTTGTACTTATTTTATCATTGTTAGACACATGAACACAATGAAAAATATTTAAATATAAATTCATTTTAGCAATAATAGAGCATATATTTTTAAAGATAATCCAGAAATGCAATTACTATTAAAATACATGTCAGATTCCCCCCCCCCCCCCCGATTTTATGTTTTCATTCTGTTTGATTTTAGGACGAATAACTTTTACAGAACCAAATATTCAGAGTGTGCCAAGAGATTTTGAGATCAAAATGCCAACACTAGTAGGAGAAAGCCCACCTTCCCAAGCCCTAGGCAAGGGCCTACTTCCCACGGGCAGGTAGACTCTGTTTCTTTGTATTTGTGTTAATATCCTTTTGTGTGAATGTTTCAAAAATAGCCTATTGGAGGGCCAGCCAAGTGGCGCATTGGTTAAGAGCTGGCTTGAGACGCCAGCTCTGAGCAGCAGGGCCCCGGTTCGGGTCCCACATGGGCCAGTGACACTGCCCTCTACAGCTAAGATGGTGAACAACAGCTCAACCTGGAGCTGAGCTGTTGTGAGTCGCTGGTGACCGCTTAGGCTGCAGTGAAGCTGCAGTGGGCTGCCATAAGCTACTGTGAGTGGTTGGCAGCTGGCGTGAGCTGCCCAGAGCTGCCGTGAATGGCCATCCAGTGGCCAGCTACTGATCTGTCTCACCTGGGAAGAGCGCAATGATAATACCAACATGGGCCAGTGAAGCGACGTCCTCCACAACTAGACTGAAGAACAAAAGGACAGCAACTTGTCTGTTCCCCTTCCCTGATTCCCCAGTGCTGTTCCCCTCCCTCAATTCCCCAATTAAAAAAAAAAAATCTAAAAAAAAAAAATAGCCTATTGGACAAAATAATGAAATTAGTTTAATTTTCTGTTTCAGGAATAGCCCTTTCTATTCTAGGCATCATCCATTTCAAACCCTGAGTCTGTCTATAAAGAAGTTAGTTGATGTTGAAAGGCTGAAAATCAGGGCCACTAATTAAATTAACCAGCATGATATTCTTATTTAAGTCAAATTAATTAAAGGGAAGAGTTTAGCAATGTCAGAAACATTCCCCCTCCTGCCCTCCCCACATACACAAAAAGGGAAGAAAAAGCACAGATAATTTTTATTAGGTCAAAGACATTAAGTTGAGCTAAATGTCAATGAATTATCCCAAGCGGTTTGTAGGAAAGGCTATTACAGAAATGCCTTACTTCCTATTTAATTGAATGTTTGCTAAAATGTAAATCTAGTATCTTTGTTAAGCTTTAAAGTGAGTTTCAGATAATAAGGTGTTTAAGTTTCTTAGATGGAAATATTAACTTTACTGAAAAATCAGAACTTTTTCACATATTTGAGACTGCTTCACATGCAGCTGATGATGTTGTTTGCATGACAGAGGGAGAAATAAGGGTTGTGGCCTGAACCCTGGGCACCAGGCACAGATGGAGGAGAGAGCCTCAGACAGAGGAATGCCATTTTCCGTCAGCATGCGACATGCCTTTGTGCCTTTCCCAGGTAAGGTGGCTGATGGTTTTTGAGCTTCTCATTGCTATGGAAATGTTTTTCAAAGTACTGATAAAGCCTGCATTATGAATAAGACTCAGAAGTATAATACTCAGAAGTACAGTATGCATCTTTCTTCTGTGTAGCCTGTTTTTCCCCTTTATGTGCCCAGGTTTATAAAACGTCAGCCATCATTGTCTTTATGATCTGCTCTGTGAGAAACTTCTGTGGTGTATGCTCATTGGCAGCAGCCTGCTGAAACCAAGGTTATTGCAAACCTTTTTGGAAAACCCAATGGATTTTTTAGTCCTCGTCCTCTTTGACTTTTGTACAGCATTTGTCACTGTTAATCAACCCTCGCTTTCCTTAGTTTCTCTCCCCACCATGAACTCTAAGGGCACACTTTTTTTTCTCACTTCCTGACTTGTTTTGCATTTTGTTTTTTCTCCTCTTCTCCTGATTCCTGCTTTCTCTTACATGGGGTAACCCCCAGGACTATCCTTCTGCCTGACCTCTCCTCAATACTCTAGCCATAAACCTTTTTGTTATCAAAACATTTGAAAGTTATGATCTAACTCCTAACTCATCCCTACTGTTAGTATCATGTTTGCTGTTTTATGTTTTGACAATTGGCAGATCTGGGTGAGTGCAGCTAACCATCTGAATTTGAATTCTGTCAATAATGTATATTCCAAGAGTGAATTCAGGTCTATGATAACAATCTGCTTGGCAAATTTCAGTGTTGCTTTTTAAGTATGAACTATTAGCATTTTACTGTTGTAACAATTTTTTAAGTACTAAGTTCTGTGGCATTTTAAGGACATATGCATTGTTGTGCAACCATCATCATTATGTATCTTCAGAACTTTTTCGTCTTGTACAACTGAAACTCTGTACCCATTACACATTAACTCTCCCTCCCCTACTCCCCAACCCCTGGCAACCATCATTCTACTTTCTATCTTTATGAACTTGACTAATATAGTGCCTAATATATGTGGGATCATACAATATTTGTCCTTGTGTGCCTGGTTTATTTCACTTAGCATAATGTCTTCAAGGTTCAACCATGTTATAGCTCTTATGTCAGAATTTTCCTTTCTTTTTAAGGCTGAGTAATATTCAATTGTATGTATATACTTCATTTTTGTTTATCTGTTCATCCATCAATTTATTCTTATCTGAACAACAAAATTGTGTTTAATGCAATAATATTTTACACTGCCTTTGTTTAAAGTTTTTTAAATTAATTTAAATTAAATGTATATGGGTTAAACCTGAAAATTTCTGCCACTTAAATATGGTGTTTAGTCCATTTACATCTGAAGTAATTATTGATATATAGTTGGATTTAAGTCTGCTTATCTTGTTATTTGTATTTTATTTGTTCTATGTGTTCTTTATTCTTCTTTAAAATTTTAAATGGCTATTTTTATTCTGTTTTATTTCTCTATTATTTATTAACTATATGTGTTAAATATTTTAGAATTTACAATATGCATCACATCATAGTCTACCTTCAAATAATTTTATACCACTTCATCCATTATGTAAGGAGTATTTTTCCATTTCCCTTTTCTTTTAATAAATTTAAACTTCATGACTATTACATGAGTAAACTCTGCTGTATAGTTATTGTTTTTACTTTAAAGAGTCTATTATCTTATAAAGAAACCCAAACCAAAAAAGTGCCTTTTCTATCTACTTTTTACCATTTTTTGCATTCTTCATTTCTTGGAGTTTTCATCTATTATCATTTTTCTTCACCCCAAATACTTCTTTTAAGATTTCTTGTAGTGCAGTTCTACTGACAATGATTTCTCTCAGCATTTCCATGCCTCTAGATTTCTGTATTTTATCTTACTTTTGAAAGATATTATTTGACACAGATTTCTAGGTTTTCAGTCCTTCTCTTTCAGCACTTTGAATATATATTTCCATTAACTTCTGGTTTGCATTATTTTTGAGAAGTACATCACTATTTTTTCTTGCTATTCTTTCAAGCACAAGGTATCTTTTTCCTGGATGCTTTTCTGATTTTTTCAATTTTAGCAATTTGATTTGGGCATGAGTCTCAGTAGTTTTTTTGTTTTTGTTTTTGTTTTTTTTTTTTAGCTGAACCGTCCTGCTACCTGTTGGTAGCTCAGCGGCAGCTCAGCTCAGGCCAGGACTCGAACCGCTGTTGCTCAGAGCTCAAACTCTTGAGCGAGCTCTTAACCAACTGAGCCACTCGGCTGGCCCTCTCAGTAGCTTTTTATGCTTTGTTTCTGGGATTTTTGAATTTGCTGAATTTCCTGAGTTTGCTTAGTTTTGTTTTTCAACCTATGTACTTATATTTTTCGTTTCAAATTTGGAACATTTTCAACCATTGTTTCTTTTAATAATTTTGTCCGTATCTCTCCTTTCTTCCTTTCTAAATTTATGTATGTAATACCACTAGGTATTGTCCAACAGATCACTGAAGCTTTTATCTTTGCTTTTTTGTTCTCCTTTCTCTGTTTTTTTCACTCTGTGCTGCAATAGATATTTCTATTGACTGTTTTAATGTTCACAGATCTTTTCCTCTTCGGTGTGTAATTGCTGTCACATCCTCCTAGTGAAATTTACATTTTTAATTGTAGAATTTTCATTTGATTTTTTTGTGTCATTTCATTACTTCATTGCAATTTACTATTTGTTGCATAATTATCTTCATGTTTCTTTAAATTCCTATATTTATGTTATCTATTAAAAATTCCATCACCTATAATTTCTAGGTCATTTCCTATTGATTGAATATTCTTCCATTCTAAGTTACTTTCCCTAGGTTCTTCATATGTCTAGTATTTTTTTATTGTATGCTGGATGTTATGGTTGCCACATTGTAGACTCTTTGGATTTTGTAGTCTTCATTAAATAGCATTTTCTTCTGACAGGCAATTTATTTTTACATCAGCTTGATAATTCTGAGACTTTTAAAGCTTTGTTAGCAAAAGTTTAGAGTAACATTTACTCTAGGGCCAGATTAGCCTGATTTTAAGTCATGGCCTCGCTGGGGTCTCGGTGTGCAAGTTATTCAACAAGGTCTCTCTACTCAGTCTGATCAGAGCTTGAACATCTCTCTACATTCAAGAGTATGTTGTTCAAGTAGTTGTTCAGCTGACAGCTATGCAATTGTGGCTCTTTCTTTGGTAATAGTTATTTCTTTAGTGTTTGTTCTTTGCCTGTTCCCTGCACAGCTTAGTATTTAGTCAGAAATCCAAAGGGATTATTGTGCATATTTCTGGTGCTCCTTTTATGCACATTTCTTTCCCTCCAAATTTTAACAAATACTAGCTGCCTCAGTAAACCCAAACTCCAGTCTCGGCTTCCTCAGCTCAGAGAGATCATAGTGCTTTGTTTCATCTTTCCTTCCCTACAATGCTTTCTGCAAAGTGCCTCCATTCAGAAACCTGACACAGTTGTATGGCTCACCCCATCTTCTCTCTCTTCTTGCCTTTCTCAGGGATTATAGTCCTGCATTGCCTATTGCTCAGTAGCTGAAAGCAGTTATTTCATATATTTTGTCCAGTTTTGTCTTGTTTATGGCAGTAAGGCCATAAAAGTTATGGTCATTTGTTTTAAATCAGTATTTACATACTTTTGAATTGATTATTCATTCACATAGGTCAGAAATCAAAATATATAAAAGGTATATATATATATTTTTTTCTGATTTATTTTATTTTATTTT